ACTGTTGCTCAGAACCCTGTTGGATGCATCTGTTGCCTTCTGAAAAGAGCTTCTGAAGGGCTGACTAGCAAAGTCCCAGCCTCCTGTTTTCTACTCCCTGTTTTCAGGGAACCGTCTTTGAAGCTTGGAGAGGACCTTGGCAAGGCCCAGGAGTGCTTGGGTTGTCTGCCTGAGCTTAGAGAGGCTGGAAAACTGAAAGCTTAGGGTTATTTGCCTTTCATCTTGTCTGGTACTAACACATTTGAGGCACCCTTCTGGGAAACCCGGTATCATTCAATAGTGACTGTATGAGTTCAGCTTCTGCTGGCCAGGCCAGCAGTGGCTCAAGGTGAGGGTCAATGTCACCAGCAGCTTGGTGCATATGCGGTCATGGTTCTTGTTCATGGTGCTGCCAACAGGAGCACTGAAAGCAGATGGTTCCCTGGCAGGCAAGCTCCCAAAGGGGACTTCAGCAGCACTTGCTGAAAGCAGGCCAAAAGGTGATCTCTCTTCTCCCTGCTCCACAGCTGACCACTTTCCTGTCTACTTCCCTCAGTGGAAGGTGGGTACTGCCCACTTCCACATGGTTCTGTACCTGCAGTGGTTTCAGCCCATGGTCCTGCAGCCAGGCACCTTCAGGCTGCCCTCACTTGTTTCTTGTCTCCTGCAGATCCCAGAGAACCCACCCGACTACCAGAAATATTATCGCCATATGAACAAGGTATGATGGCTGGGCAGGGGCATGAGTGGGGCAGGGATTTGGGCAGAGGGAATAGGAATCAGGGGCAGCACCTGCTCTCTTCCAAGAATAGAGTGTCTGAGGGAAAGTGATCCTGTTCCTTAAGCCTACCTGATCCTTTTCCAGGGTGGCTTCCCCTTCAGCACGCGGGACTGTGGCTGGATTGTGGCAGATTGCACAGCGGAGGGGCTGAAGGCAGTTATGCTGCTGCAGGAGAAGTGTCCCTTCATAGCCAAGCCTGTGCCTGCTGAGTGCCTCTTTGATGCTGTGAATGTGGTAAGAGCTGCAAAAATTAGGCCAAGGGACATGCAGGACTGTAAGAGAAGCCAAGGCCCAAGGAACTGCTAAATCTAGTATTAGCTCTGGTATTAGCTCTGGTTAGATCTGAGCTAGTAAGAGGCCTGGTGTGGCAACACTGTTGTGATTCAGAGCTGCCTATTTTACCTGGTGTCATGTGATGGCCCAGATTGGGCCTGCCTGCCTGTCATGGTGGTTTGGGACCTGGGTTTTCTGCCAGCCCCATAGACCTGTAGGTCTGACTTTGTCCTCAGAGCTGGCTTGGGGCCAGACTGGACTAGTACTCCCCATGAGGTTGTCCCACCCCACTCTCTCCTTGTCTGGGCAGTTGCTGAGCATGAGGAACTCAGATGGAGGCTTTGCCACTTATGAAACCAAACGAGGAGGCCACTTACTGGAGCTGCTGAACCCTTCGGAGGTGTTTGGTAAGGGGAGCTGTGGGGCTTGGCTGTCCTGCCCACTGTGAAGGGACAAAGTGGCCTGGGCTGAGCATGCCCAGTGGGTGCCTGACAGGCTCTGAGGGACAGGCCAGCAGTGGGCTGTGGCACTGATACCCACTGCCTGCTGGCAGGTGACATCATGATTGACTACACATACGTGGAATGTACATCAGCTGTCATGCAGGCACTAAGACACTTCCAGAGCCAGTTCCCTGAGCACCGAGCCCTGGAGATCAGGTGAGGAGGCACTGAGATGAGAGCTGGGCAGGGGAGAAGACAGGCTTACTGTCCCAAGCTGCCTGCCATGGCCTCCTAAAATATGTAGCTGCCTGTCTGCATGCTCTTGGCTCTTGTGCCTTCCAATAATGGGACCCATCAAAGCCTCAGAGGGGCTGATGGAGCCCCCAGTGAAGCAGACACTGAGTTTGAGCTGCTTCTGAAGTGGATGGCTTCTTTCCTGTCCAGGGAGACTCTGCAGAAGGGCCTGGATTTCTGTCGCAAGAAGCAACGAGCTGATGGGTCTTGGGAAGGGTAAGCAGAGATCCCAGCATTCAGTTGGCCCCAGTGTGAGAGGGATCATCATGGCAAGTGTCCCTGGCTGGCAGGGTCTGTGGGAGGGGAAGTAGGGGCTGATCCTCCTCTAGCTGTTGTGCTTTGCTCTCAGTTACTCCTCTCCAGCCCAGGTAGAACAGGTACCTTGTGCATTGCACAAGACCCAGAGAAGTTTGGGGTGGCTCCAGCTCCTGTGGTCCCAGTTCTGCTGACACTTGAGTTAGCTGGGAGCAGGTGCTGGTGGGAGGGGGTGTGGTTGGGCCATAGGGGAAGGCAGGCTGCAGCTCTGTGCCTGGCTCTGCTCTGCTGTGATCACAGCTGTGTTGCAGCCTGCTTCTCCCTGGGGCCTTGCACCCCTGATAGTGCTGTTTTCCCCTTCCTCCTAGGAGCTGGGGCGTTTGTTTCACCTATGGCACCTGGTTTGGTCTGGAGGCGTTTGCCAGCATGCAGCACACATACCACAACGGGTGAGAAGGGGATGTCTGGGTGCTCTGCCCCTACCTACCTCCTGGGCCAGGGTAGGACTCCATGGTGGGGCTGGCTGGATGCCCTGGCTGCACATGGACTCTTCTGCTTCAGGGACTGTTCCTTCCAAATCCTGTGCCTGCAATATGGCCAGGACACTTGCTGCCTGACCCTCAACCTCTTGGGGCAGTGCTGGCCATAGACACCGCTTCTCTTCGCAGCTGAGAACTGTGGGCATCCAAACACTCTCTGTCCACAGTCCTGTCTTGATTCTGCCCCCCATCTCTGCAGGACTGTGTGCCGAGAGGTGGCCCAGGCCTGCCAGTTCCTCGTCTCCAAGCAGATGGCAGATGGCGGCTGGGGAGAGGATTTTGAGTCCTGCGAGCAGCGCAAGTACGTGCAGAGTGCTGAGTCGCAGATCCACAACACCTGTTGGGCTCTGCTTGGACTCATGGCTGTCAGGTAAGAGGAGCCTCACCTGGCCCCAGTGCTCAGGGAAAAGAGATGCAAGCTGGGTTGGGTGGCCTAGTGCCTGACTAGTGTGACCCAGTGCAAAGCAAAGCTTTTGGTCATGACTGCAGGCCTTCAGCCTGGGAAAATGGTGCCATATTCATATTTAGTGTCTTGGGGTTGTGGGAAGCCCTTCCCAAAGCACTCAGCATGCCTGGGGCAAGCTTGGGGCAGCCTGGAGGTGGTTGAGTTCCCCAGGCACATGGATAAGGGTTTGCAGATGGTTTGGACAAAGATGCTTACATTTCCCTTGTGCTTTGTAGGTACCCTGACATCAGTGTGCTGGAAAGAGGCATTAAAGTGTTGATGGATAAGCAGCTGCCCAATGGAGACTGGCCTCAGGTACATCTTTAGTCTTTCTGAGGTTCCTGAACATGCAGCAGTCCCCTGTTACTCACACCATTCTGCTCTCTGTTTCTCTCCCAGGAGAACATTGCCGGGGTGTTCAATAAGTCATGTGCCATCAGTTACACCGCGTACCGCAACATCTTCCCAATCTGGACGCTGGGGCGATTCTGCCGGCTGCATCCCAGCAGCCCTCTGGCTGGGCAGCTGCCAGCCAGAGCCAGACCCTCAGCTGAGGCAGGGCAGGAGGAGCAGGGAGCCCTGTCTGCTTAAACCTGGACCTCTGGGGGTGCCGTGGCCCTGGACTTGGATCCCGGTGTCTGCATGGGGCCATGGCGGTGTGTGCTGCATGGGATATCTCAGCGCTGACCTGTGGACTGCTGCCCCTGCCAGGAAGGGGTGCTGCACTGGTGCTGCAGAGCCTCTGCGTGCTGTTAAACCTCTTCTAAACATTCCCTTTCTAAGTTTTTTTTCCAGGTATATTCTCCATCTTCAGATGGGGAGTGAAGTGCCTTTTCAGACCATTTTTAAGATCTGACGAAGCTGCCGAACTGTGCTGTATTTGACATCTGGACAGACTCTCCTAGGTTGCAAGGCTGCCTTTATTGTCACAGGCTGTCTGTCTATACCAATAGTGTGGGATTTGGGGTCTCCCCTGTGCCCACCATTGGGGGTGGGGGGAGGCACTGCACAATCCCTGCTGAGCTGACCTCTGTACTGTGGGTGCCAGTGATGGCCTTTGAATTGCTTGCTCTGCTCTGGAGCCCATGCTGGGAGGGGAAGGACACCTGTCCTCCCCCAGCTGGTGGCACCTAGTTTCTGCAGGTGCAGTCACTACCAGCCCTTGGAAAAGGGGCAGCTGAAGCAGAAAGCTGTGAGGTGGTTGGCACCATGGCCCCAGGGCTCCAACCTTCCCCCAGTACAGGCCATGGTGCTGTGGGGCATTCACAGGTCATTGTCAGAGCTGGATATCAGATGAGATAATAAATTGCTAAGCAAGATGCAAGAGGAACTTCACCGTGTTCTCCTTTCTGTCTGCTAGTGTGTGTCCCACTCTAGCACAGCAGCCTCATGTCACATGGCTTGGGTTGCTTGTCCCCAGAAGTATGAGCACTGTATCTACCAAACCATGCTGGGAGCCTCTGCCTCCTCTAATGCATTTAGCCCCAGAAAAATACAATCAAAGAAGCAGCTCACTAATCGGGAACAATCACTTCCCTCATCCTGCTGCTTACACTCATGTAGATAAGCAAGACAGAGAAATTTATTTATTTAAGAAGATTCAACTCAGGCTGTCTCAACTCAGCCTGTCAGGTTTAACATGACGTGAGCATAACTTGACAAAAAGCTTTAGACTTAGTAATACCAGAATAAGGAATCACCCCTGTGCAGGGAAGCAATAAGGAAGAATATCTGCTTTAGGGCATGGAACACAGCAGGTTCTCTCATCCCAGAGTTATCCCTATCTTCTACACTTCCCTAGGTTCCTCCCAGGTTCAGCAGGGAAAATCACTGCTCACACCTGTCCATTCCCTTGCCCAGCAGGCGCCCATTTGTGTGTGGACATGAGCTTCTGGCCACAGCCAGCCAGGCAGCAACTGGAGCATTGGGCACCAGATGCTGGGCTGATGTTTTCTTCCATAAAGCAAGAAAAACATTCAGAAGAACACAAGGAAATTTGACAGTTTATCTCTCTAAGAATCTAATTGTCCTGTGAAAGTCAACTTTCTTCTCTAAGAGATGTTTACATTCTTGTCTCCTGGGAAGATGCTTCATATGATTATGGGTCCTCTATTTTCACAGGTGCAATTCCTTTCTCATAGGAACTTGTTAGGCTAGCTGTTAGCTGTACCCAGCTGAAGCAGCAAGCCTGACCATGGTTTTATAAGGCCTTTCTTTTGTAAGAATATACATGCAATATATGCAATAAACAGCCACCTGCAGAAAGAAGCACAGACACCAATATGTGTTTGCTTTAGCTGCCCTCTGGCACAGGAGTCCCCTGGGGCAAAGGTCTCTGTGGTAGGACATGGGCACCAGCATTGGCAAGGCTTGGGAAAGTGGCAGGGACTCTGCCCCCCCTGCTGATTTCAGTACTCCCCAGTGGTCTGAGCAGCATTTGTGCCCTGGGCCACACATCCCGAGTCTGTGTCACACCCCTGCATATATGACAGCCACCCACCAATGGGACGTGTCCCAAAGAGGCTGTGGTGGCTTCTGTGGAAGGCCCTGGTGCCCTTCCCGCTACAGCCCCATGGAGGCTCCTTCTGCTGCCCTGGGCAGGCAGAGCAGAGGAGCATCTGCTTGTTTATTGTCCCTATCTGGCTTTGTTCAACACTTGGGGGAATGTCTTCCTCGAAATCTGGGGCAGTTTGGGTGGGGTGGGTGTGACCCCAGGGCATGTGGAGGTGTGTCCTAGGGCTCTTTGTGACACAATGCACCATGGTCACCGTGGGATGGGAATGGACAGAGTGTAGAAGGGTGACCCTTTGTGACAAGTCATGACATAGGTGCTGGTGGCGACACAGCCACGCCACAGTGCTCAGTGCACGCAGCGAGACAGGACGGGACAGAGCAGTGCTGTGAGGAGCCCCCACACAGCCAACTTCGCTGATCTGGAGCTTTCCCCAGCTGTTACTGTTGCAGGTGACCTTGAAGCCAGACTGTGGGATTTGGTGACCATAGGCTTCTCAAGTTTTCTTTTTTGCAGGTGCCCTCAATGGCAGTCTGTAGGACTTGCTGACACAGAGCCTTTACGAAATGTCTCCTGTCACTGTGGCAGGAGGCCTTGAGGCCAAACTGCAGGACTTAGTGTCCTGTAGCCTTCCCAAGGCTTCTCTTTTGTAGGTCCCTTCAAGGCACAGCTGCAGCCCTTGCTGGACCTGGAGCTTTTCTGAGGAGCTTTTCTCCCCTGCAACTAGCCATAAATCCAGACATTGACATGGCAGAGAAACCCTCCAACCCACCCAAGAAGGTGGAAGAATGCCCTGGTGGCGCCCCACCACAGCAACATAATGAGATGGAGCAGCTCCAGCTGCTGCAGAAAGGTGAGTGGCAGAGCTGGCCCACAGGGCTGGTGCCTGCAACCAGCTTGGCCCTGTTCCATCCCATCCCAGTGGACATGACCACGGATAGGATGAAACGGGGGCTGGACCCCCTGGCAGCCATTCTCCATCCTCAGGGTATCCTGAGACTGTTCCTGCCTGGGCACTGAAGGGCTGGGCTGTGTTCTCCAGCCTCTTCTGCAGCATTTTGAGCTCTGACATTCCTTGCTCTTTGCCAGATGCAGGGAGGGACCTGACAAAAGAGCAGAACTCTGCCCGCAGCAGCTGGCGCTTTATAGGCCAGGTACTGAGAACCATCCCCACCTTCTCAGCCAAGCAGCACAGTTGGAGCACTCGGTGGATCATCCTTCTCTTCCCTTTTGTTCCTTCTTTTGCAGATGTTTACGAACAAAAGCACTTGGTATCAAGACATGATCACCATGTTGACCAAGCGTGCGGCAAAGCCTGACCCCGCACCCACTCAGAGCATAGCTCCTGCTCCCAGCATGGATTCTTTTGGAGACAGGATTGTCTCCAGTCCAAATCAAGTAAGCAGCCTGTGGCCAGGGCTGGGTGTCCCCAGGAATTGCATGGTGCCTCAAGCCATTTCCACTGGGCCACCTCAGCCTTTGAGTTCAACCCAGTGTGGTGGGAAGCACTTCTCAGTGGAAACTGGGGAAGTTGCTCCCTCTGGCAGCTCTCCAAGTCTCCCTGTGCCTTCTCCAGGTGCCAGGTTTTGTTAGGAACATGCATCAGAGGTTCATGTCCAATGAGCCTCCAGATGACAGGCTGTTCATGGACATCCTGAGGCTGACTGATGCACACCCCACTGATGTTGCAGTGACCCTCCTGCGCTGTGCCCCATCATGTGATAGGTACAGAACCCACCTGCCTTGAGGGCTCAGGTCTAACCAGCCTGTAGGGCCCATCACCCTGTACAGCCAATCCAGTGGGGTCTTCTAGACAGGCAGACTTCCAGGAGCCACTGGACCCTTCATTTCCCAGCCCCTAAGCCTCCTGCCATGCTCCCTCCCTACCCCTCAGGGCACTGTGGCTCTGTCATCTGGACCCCTGTGGCTGCCCAGGCCATGGTGCTCTGGCTGAGACCCCTCTGACACACAGCTCTGGTCCTACAGGGGTGCTGCAATCATGTGGAAAACCATAGCATCATCAGGAACAACAGTGGACAAGGTGCTGCCATCACTGCTCTGTGTGATGGATGGCTGGCCACAGCAGAGAATGTACACCTCTGATGGGGACAATAAGGATGTATTTTCCCTGGCTGTGAGTTTCTGGAACTGGCCTTTGCTTGCACCCAGGTTGCCTCTCCATCCTCAGGCACTGGGCTGACACCTGGGTTTAGGGCAGGTTCAGGGGCACCAGGCCAGGTCTCCGCTGGTCTCCCCTGGCCTCTCCCTTGCACACTCAGCCCTGCCACTTGGCACTGAGCGCTGTCTCTGGGTGGTTTATCCTTTGCAGGCAACCAGGGTGGTTTGGGAGATTCTCCGCCTGCCCTGGTGCCCAGAGCCATTTATGGAATATTCCCCCCATCTCGTCGTGGCTCTGCTCTTCCAAGTTTTCATCAGTACAGAGCAGGTGCCAGAGGAGGTCGATAGTTTCTGGAGGACATGTCAGGAGGAACACAGCCTTTCCACAAGCATCAACAGGTGCTCCATCCCAGTCCTCCTGTCACTGCCACATCCCCAGGGCCGCGGCCTGGGCTCCCAGAATGACCTGGGCTTTGCTGTGCACACAGGTTTGCAATGCAGACTTTAAGGGCGCTGTTCCACCATCTGCAGTGTGTGGATTTACTGGTTGCAATGGAGCGCAAGTGTGGTTGGGACACGCTGCTCTGTGTTGACACCCACCACTATGCCGTGGGTCTGCTGGCCAGGTGAGAGCCCCTTCTGCCCACTGCCCCTGTCATTTGTGCCCAGGGTGCCCTACACAGTTCCCACGGTCATGGGCCAGAGAGCCTTGTCACAAAGAGACAGATGAGCAGATTGGAAAAGGGAGAAGAGGGTGCCCAGTACCAGCCACCTCCCAAAGTGCCCACAGGGTGCTTGGGAAAAGATGAGACCTCTGTCAGTCCTGGGAGAGGTTTTCCCACCCATCTCAGGGATGACGGTGCCTCTTTCCCCCTGCCAGAGAGATGCGCCGTGTCTCCATACCCTTGTGTTCCTGCATTGCACTTCGCCTGCTCAGGCTGCTCAACAAGGAGGAACCACGCTGGGAACTTGCTGCTATGGCGTTCCTTGTGGAGGTGAGCCCAATGGCCAGCGCTGCCTTGCTGAGCTGCTTCCCACCTCTCTGCCCTCTCATAGCTGTGGCTGCCTGGGACAGTGCCCACAACCTGTGCTGCTGCCTTGGCTCAGCCCTGTGCAGTTCTGAGCTCCTGCAACTGGACACCCTTGTCACTGCTCTTTGCTTTTCAGGTCCTGGACTGCCTGGACTTGAATGAATGGGGTGAAAACATCCTGGAGATCATGACAAAGCACCTGAAGAGCGAGTCCAAGGAGGAGTGTCACCTGGCACTCAGAGGCCTCGTGGTGCTCAGCCAAAATCCCTTGATGGTGAGGAGGCAGAGGCTGAAGCTGTGCTGGCAGTGTGGGGCTGGGGAAAGCAGCCTCTTGGGCTTGGCTGGGCTTTGGGAGCTCTGGCAGCTGCTCCCAGCTCTCCTGTGTCACTGTTTAGCTGCCCGAGTGCTTCGGGAGAGGCCTTCGGCCTCTGGCCTCCATGGCAGCAGGGTGGGGCTGCACCACTGGAGCGGTGTTGGCAGTGCAGCTGTTCATGGATTCATACCACAAACATGTATTCCACACAGGCCAAAAAAATGTGCAACCTGTCTGAAAGCTTGGTGCAGCTATTGAGGAATGCAGATGGAGAGGAGATCAGGTTGACCCTCGCTGTGTTCATGAACATGCTCCTGAACAAAGATATTCTAGTATCCAGCCCCACGGCCCCGAAACTGGCTGAGGCTCTCCGGCCCCTCTTTGACAATGTAAGGCTCTGTGCCCCCAGCCACGGGCTCTGGGTGCTGCCCGAAAGTGTGGTGCCCTGTGCATTTTCAGGCCTGTGCACAGGGGAGTCTGGAGAATCCAGTGCTGAGTTTTTTCCTTTCCAACAGGACAACAGCCACATACAGGTGCTCTCCATTCAACTCTATCAAGAAGTGATGGAATCGGTAGTGGAAAAGGGAAAAAAGCCCTTGAAGATGTTGGTGAGAGAGAGCCTGCTGCCGCTTTTCTTCCACTGCCACAGTGAGAACAGGCGTGTGGCAGAGGTGAGGACTCCTGGGGGCCAGTGGCCCCATGGGAGGGGGCTAAACTGTCTCCCCACACCCTGGCACCTCATGGGCTCCAGCCTCCTCCTGGTCTTGGCACAAGGACATGGGTCCTGTGCCCTGGGCTGTGGTGCCATCTCTGGGTCTCTGCTGCTCTGCAGTCTGCTCGGGAAACACTGCTTTCTGCACTAAGCTTCCTGAATAGGAAGGATCTCAAGCACCTGCTAAAGACGGAGGACCCATGGAGCTTTGGCGAGCGTGTGGTAAGGACAGCCTGGAAGCCCCCGTTCCAGCCTGGAGAAGTCTCCTGCCTGTGGTGCCCATGTGTGGGGCTGGCAGCTGTGCCCCTGCCCAGTGCTGCGCCCCGGGGCACCAGCTTGCACCCCACATGCTGCTTCTTTCCCTGGGCCACATGAGCTCTTCTCCAGGCTCCAGTGGCCCCAAGCCAGATGCTGATGGAGCACCCGACCCAGTTGGGTTCTGGTGTGGGGTAGTACCATGGCTCCCCAGGCCCCCTGCCCCCTCCAAAGCCTGGTGCCAGTGGCTGCTGGCCGGGCCTCAGGGCTGTGTGGGCAGGGGAGGTAGTGCTGGGCACAGGGAGTGTCTGGCCAAGGAGCAGAGCCCGTGCCAACACTTCCCTCCATGCCCTGCCGCTCTCTCCAGCTGGCAGAGGACAGGAGCCAAGCGGGCAAGCACCTGCGGCAGGCTCTGCCATATCTGGAGAGCCCACAGGAGCCCGTGCGAGAGGCAGCCATCAGGTCCATTGGTGAGCTACATGCCCTGGGTCTGGGTCCCTCCCTTCCCCATTGCAAGGAGGATCCAGGCCAGGGGCCATGACAGGCTCTGTGTTCCCAGGGATTGCCAGCATGCTCATGAGGGGGCAGCAGGAAGAGCTGCAGGTCATCTGTGAGGGTGAGTGAGGCCAGCAAGGTTTCAGTGGGAGCTTGAGGGGGAGGCTGCAATTCCTGCCCTGGCTGCAGAGGGCTCTGCTCCCTGCGTGGACAAGGGGTGATGTGGGCAGAGCATAGAAATGTTTCAGGGGTCTGTGGGATATTCGTGGCCAGCACCTTCCAGCTGATCCTTGTTGTCTCCTGCTTCCTCCAGGCCATGGCAAGAACTGGGTAGACTTTCAGCGTCCTTTCAGGGGGTTTCCTCACTCTGACCATGGGTCTGTCTGTTCTCTGTTTCAGCCCTTCAAGTTCTTAGCCAAGATGAGAGCCCCTCCAACACAAACCTGATAGTTCAAGTCATGTTGGATGAAAGAGCTGCATCACTAAATTCATCTTCTGGATCAAGACAACCAGGACAGCACCAGACCCCAAACAAGAGGAGACAATCTGGAGCTCCAGGCACAGCTGATGCTGAGCACTCCTAAGCTTGCCTGGAAGCTTGGGTAGCTCCTGGCCTCTCCTTCCCTCTTTACTGATCCCTCCCTACAGCCCTCAGACCCTGCCCGTTCCCTTCTTCTCCTCCCAGCTCATCCCTTTGCTTTGCTTGCCATTAATAAACATTTTCATTAATAAACATTTCAGCTTCTTTACCTTATTTGTATCATTGTGGAGCTAAAGTGGAGCAAAACCTGAGCCCTGGAGCACACAGGCCCTGTCCTGCTGCTCTTTTCTGCACTGTGTTTTGTGCAGAGTGGAAAAAGGGCAGATCAGGCTAGAAAGGTCTCTGCCCTGAAAGTCCAGTTTCACAACATTGTTGAATTAAAGGTCTTGCTGAACACACTGAAGGTCAGCAGTAAGACAAAGATTTGGATTTTAGAAGAGCCAACTTCAGTATTTTCTGAATCCAGCTGAGAGGGATTCCGTGGCAATCATCCACTGAGGGCAAAGGAACTTGGAATACTGGAAGTTATTCAAGAATAGCTTCCTTGAAAGCACAGCAGTGCTCCTTTCCCTAAACAAGGTGTTATAAATACACATTATAATATTGGCTTTTTGCAAAATATTGGAATGGATGTTATATATATGTTAAAGTAACTTTGCTATAGTTGTTTTTGTTTTTTTTTCTATTAACAAAACTTAGGCAGAGTAGTAGAATAGCTGATAGTTATGCTTGAACTGCCTGCTTAGTTAGGATAACATCCAATGGACATATGATGAAGACCCCTGCTTCCTTCTTCCATCTGAAGAAAGTATGGACACCAAAACGTATAATTGCTTATGGATATGCAATAGGCTGATGCAACAGAAACAGTATATAAAGAGTGTCTCCAAAATAGTAGGTGTGCTCTTGGCAGAACACCCGGCTGTTAATCTTTGCTTTATCCTTGTCTCCTATTATCTCTTATTAAAACTTTCAACTTTTACCAGGAAGTAAATCTCGTTTTTCACAAGGGAAAGGAAGAGGGCAGAGACCACCCTGATTTACAGTGAGCTTTGGGTATACTCAAAATGAAACCAAAGAGGCAGCAGCACAGGGGCTGAGGCTCAGACACATGACCACCCACTGAACTGAGCACTGTGAGGCAGTGCTGGGATCCTGGGTGTGGTTCTGGTCCCCACACAACTGAGGAATCACAGTTCCTGCCTCATACACAGTCAGAAACCAAAGTGAGACCAGTGGGAAGAGACCATGCCAGTCTCTCTTGGCTGCTAAACAGCTGCTGCTTCTTCCTCTACCTGTGCTTGCTGACCCCAGAGCCAGAGCCAGGTCATGCTCTATTGTCCAAAGACTGTTCAGAGCAGGCATGAAAAGTGCCCCATGCACAGTGGAGAGTCCTGGAAGGACAAGGGCATCTAACCCAAATCTATCCTTTTTCAGTTTAAATATGTGGCTTTCTCCAGCAAGAAGGAGCTCCTCTGTCAGTGCCTGTTCTACTTGCTGCCTTTGGGCCATCTAATGTTGGGAAAAGGAATTTGCACCAATTCCAGAGTCTGCAATAAAAATAAAGATACTGAATTTGGGACTGATAAGTTGGTGTGATGACTATATAAGGCTAAGATGGAGTCCTAAAACTTTGTATGCTGTGATGTTTGCTCATCATCTCAGCAGCTGAGAACTTGAATGCAATTGCAGTTTTGCTCTTAGCTCTGGGAATCGCAGAATCCCAGAGCAGTTTTTGTTGGAAGGTATTTTAAAGATCCTGTATTCCAGTTGCCTGTCTATGGGCAGGGACATCTTCCATTAGAATTGGAAGAATTGGACTAATCCATCTTTACCTTCCCTCCTCTGGATTTTGATCCAATGTGAAAATATCAGCTGGTTAAATTTTGTAGCTCACAGAAGTAGAAACAGGAGTTTCCAATGGGAACAGGAGTTTCCCAATATCCCATCTAAACCCACCCTCTGGCAGTGGGAAGCCATTCCCCCTGTCACTCCAGGCTTTTGCCCAAGGCTCCTCTTGGAGCCCCTTTGGACACTGGAACAGCTCTAAGGGCTCCCTGGAGCCTTCTCCAAGCTGAACATTCACAGTTCTCCCAGACTATCAGTGTAATGTTCCAGTTCTTGGACCACTTCCTGGCCCTTTCTTACCTCCTCTGGACTCCCTTGAGGTCCTCTCCATCCATCCCAAGATGAATTGTCTTGTTGGCTGTGCAGCTTCTAGGCTAGAATCTTCTCTGTGGGACCAGCTGCCAAACTTTTCTAGTTTTGTAACTGGACTCTGTGAGCCTGAAAGTTCATGAGGATCCATGGAGCTGAGCACACAGAACTGTGTCTGATGCCCTTTATAAGCTGCAACCAAAGTAATAACCAATACAATTGAAAGGATATGCCAGCAAGTTAGAAAAAGGCATCTCAAAAATCACTAAATCTGAGGTAGAAACATGACTTCTCACTAGGGGGTTTTACTCAGGGCTGTGTCAGTAGCACTTGAAGGATATTAGGCATGCTTCTGGTCTACTTTTTCAATCTCATTTCATCCAATGAAGAAGCAGCATGAAGAAAGGCATGGAAATGTGTATAACTGGAAATTTACCTGGCCAACATGCTACTGACTGAGACTAAAAGGCTGACATTGACCCACACTAACACAGACACAAAATCACAAAAAGGAATAGTGGCCTGTAGTTTCCAAACTATAATAGAAAAAATTTCTCTTTTCAGATGAAAGAGCCTATAATTACTTGAGAGTCTCATCTCCAAAACTTCAAAGGAGAAAAGTTTGATTTAGAAAATAAAACTATGAAAATCAATTGGCATTCAGCCAATTTTGAAAGTTTGAAACTGAAATTTTCTCAAACACCTTTTGAAATGAAAGAAACTACTACATTCATTGACACACTGCATTTTTCACTTCAGCTATTTCAAATAAAAATTTTATAGCTGAGAATGCTACAGTTTGTTACCTGTTAAGTGCACAATGGTATAAAATATCCTTATAGGTTGAATCCTGGTTGGTAAATGGTTTGAACCCTACTTTAGTAAAATCAGCAGCACCTGCTCTGCCAATAACACTTCAATAAACTTAGGCAACAACATATTTATCAGTTAAGAGTACTGCTAATAGTTTTTCCTAACAGAACTCATACTTGTTTAAAAAAAAATCTAAGAAAAGAAACTTAATTTTTATTAATGAAACAAAGAGTTAAAAGGTTGCTATGACATTTAGAATAGTATGCCAGAGGTGATTGTAAAACAGCAACAAATCTCAATTTTAAATAATTCACACATACTAATAACATGCCCTGTCCCTGGTAGATAGCTCTGCATAGTGTTCCTCCTGCAAGTCACCAATCACCTTTCCAGAGGGGGAAAAAATTAAAGACATCAGTAAATTTAGCTGCCAATTTAAGCATTTCCAACTTACTGTGAAGTAATTCACAGAAAGCAATTACAGAGGAAAAGTCAGTGCTGACATTTTTTCACAATCATGCCATCAGAGCAGAAATGGGGAAAAAGCACTTTTATTTACTTACTCAGTTTGTAAAACCATGTGTACACTGCCATCATTTAAAGTGCAAGCTACATGTCTTCTGAATAAACTGAAGGCATAACAGGTGCTCTGTAAGATAAAATACTGCCACCAGTAGTTATACAACTAACTACAAGTGCCAGTAGTATAGTTCAAACCCTGACCAGCTTAGTGTGTTACTCCCTCTTGTGTATTACCAGCCAAAAACATATTCCATTGCTTTAGATACGATACTTTCATCTTTCCTTGGAGTTTGTCTGTCAGAAACCACCTAGAAGGCAGGGAGAAAAACAGAAAGAGAAAACACAGAATCAGTTAACATGTAGTTAATAGTTTTTACACCAACCATTTACTTCTTTTTTCCTAAGTGCTATTATATTTTGACAAAATATGTTTGAAATATTTTCAAAACAAGCCCTTAATTTCTGGAAAAGTGAAAAGTCATTAACTTAGTACTTTTTATTATTATTTTAGAGACTGAACAGACTGAGCTTGTACTTGAACCACATTGTTAAAGAACTGACAGCAAAAGGTAAGGTCACATTGAAGTTAATGTCTGTACAGCCTCAAAGAGCTAAGGGAAGACAACACAAAAACACGTTTCTGTTTCCCTCAAAATACCTGATAGTCACTAGTGGAAGCCTTATATGCTGTTGCAAGAGGTCTCATTGTAGAAATCCTTGCAGTATTATTCGCAGGTTGTATTGGTGTGCCAGCAGATTTTGTAGGCGGAGTGAAAATCGAAGACATTGGGGATGTAGAGCTTCTTTCAAAGTTTTCCATCACACTCTTAAATAGAGGGTTAATATAATGTAAACAAACACTGAAAAGCAGTATTCCAACCTTTATTGTCTAAAATTATCTACTATTAACATTTTTTTTAATAAAACATGGATCCCAAAAGATAAAAGGTGTACCAGTACAGAACATACAGGTACACATGACCAGCGAGCGTTTTCCTCACTGCAGCCATGTTGAATTATGCCATTGCAAAGTAGTGGAAGGTTGAAATCTGTTTACTGTCTGTACTAAATGTCAACCAAGTTTGAAACAATGTAGAGGAAATACACTGTATGACTCGCAGTAAGCTTCAAGGCTCCATTTTGTGAGCCTGTGTTTAGAAAGGAATGCATGTAGAATGGAAGAGGTGGCAAGTAACTTGATGGGAACCACAAGTTCTTCAACAAACCAGAGAAAACAAGATGGTAAATAAGAACCTGCCTGGGGAGATGTGATTTGGTGGATTTAGACTCAGTGGAGCATAGGATTCAACCAGGCTAAAGACAGCAAAAATTCAGCAGCACATTTGGTAGACGAGCACTTTCCAAAATAAACACTAGGACTGGTGTACACTATGGATGGCAGCTGACTCTCTGCTTAGCACAAGGGGAACCCATGGAACTAATACTTTTAAATCAGAAGCCTAAGCACTGATGTCAAATCCATCATATCTCGTTTTCAATTCCAGGAAAGTCTTACCAAAACAAATCCTTCAATGGATTAGTCTCCTGAAATCTTTTGCCTCCAAAAACACAAATTAATGACTATGGGTTTATTTATTGGTATATGAAAGTGAATACTATCCACAAAGACATAATGAGAATTCAAAAGCAATGAAAATCAGATGCCTGGCGATTATAAGTCTTAGATCATTACTTCTAGAGCTTCAGCTTACCAACCATTCATTGATAAAAACTGGACAGCAAAATATTAAAAAGGCTTGGATGGACCACCAGCAGAAGTCCACAGAGAAAAAGGCCGCAGAATTACTTGTTTCTTAATTTTATTGAGTGTAAGAAATGTTTCAGACTGCTAAAACTTCAGTAATGCAAGTTTAATTTCTAGGCCTGCCTTCTCAGAACAGCTTAGAAAGCTTATATTACTCTTTAGTATTGTGTATCCTTAAAGGAGACAAAAAAATAATCTGTGCACTATAGAAGAATGACTGTTATTTGCTTAAGCTAATGTACAGTACCCAGTGCAAAGCACTGCAAGAATTACAGGTCAAGATATTGCCTTGCAATATTGCCAATACCTAGACAATAATAGCTCATGTTAATATTAAAACTACAAGACAGCCATGTCTACCCCTAACTGCTTCTTACAAGAGACTGACACGTTTTCCTAGGGGAAGCTGGGAGAACAGGATTGGGATTTTCTTGCTAACAAATTTTCAAAGAATTAAGATAAATCCAAGAGCCTGAAGCACATAGTCACATAACAAATAGAGAGGTACAATTAGGCACAGCAATAATCTTAATCTGCCATTAGGTATCTACTGCAGGCCCTAAATGCCACAAATTACAGTCAGGAAACTTATCTCAATTGTGTCATATTATGGTTTCACTTCCTTGTCTTGTACAGCAATATAATGTGCATTGCAACTTCCAAGGAGCACAGAGATTGCCCATAGTGATCCTTCTCAGCAGATGATGTTGACAAATACTTAAGAAAAAACTTATATAAATGTGTAACAGACTATATAGATGAACTACCTACAATTTTCAATTCCAAAAGGAAAAAAATTAAAGAGATCAGGGAAAATAAAAAGAAAGCCCAAAAGCAAAGTGCCTTATATTTAACTAAAAGCAATTATTAACTTACTTTATCTATACAGGGCTTGACACCAATCATGATAGATTCACCAAAAATTCTTCCATCTTTGCTTAAGGCTTTCCGGGCTTGAAGCTTAGACTGATATCGAATATGCATCCAGTTTCCTGTGTTGGACATCTGAATGAGATTAAGTGAAAATTGTGAAATGTAGTTTTTTCAGAAATGCTTAATTCACAATGTTTTCTGATGTGTCAAACTAAAACATACCACATGCTTTAATATGTTTCCATACTGAGCAAACTGTAGTAGAATATAGGAAGCTGATGCTTGAGGAAATCTGAAAGACAGAAAAAAAAATACCCAAAAAATTATGAGCAGTTTAAGAATTGAGGTGTTCAGATACAACCCTATGAAGCATTTACAGAAATCCAGAAGAGACCACTGTAATGATATCAGAAGCAGTGACTTGAGAAATGCCACTTTGCAGGCACTTTACCACACACCCCAACAGCAGAATGGTGTTTTTCTATCTAGAAAAAATAATGTGTAGCTCAAGTTAAGACATCTCACTGAAATGTATGTGTTTGCTTGCTATGGTTAACATAGCAGCACATACCAATGTCAGACAACACCAGTGCCCAAGTATTTTTCTCATATTCTGTAAGGACTTCACCCATGTTTTTCTGATACTTTGAAAATCAACTTACCCAAATACAGTTACCCATGTGTCATCAAGTTGATCTTCTGAAGTAAGGGAATCACCTTGAGTGTAAAAAGGATCTAGCTGAGCAGGAGATAGTGTGGTCTTCTTAGGCTGCCCAATACTTGCAGGACTGAACATGCTTGAAGCTGTTAAATTGAAATAGCATTGTTTAACAAATTTCTTTTGCAAGACAGAGTTTTATAATAAAAGAGTAAATTCAATGTCAAACATATCGCTTGTATATGGAAGAGTTTGATGGGGATTTACTCACACACAGAAAAAGTAAGGCAATCATTGTCCTGGTGTGACTTTATGATGCTTGTATCCCAAACTGCCTGTTCTGTTTATTAAGTTCTGCACTTTTAAGACTGGCTCTGAGAAGGAAGGGGGGAAGAAGAAGCCGCAGTTTGTGTTCAGAAGTGGCACTCACTCCCCCACATGCTGCTCCTGGACTGTGCTGTCTGCAGCACGGACAGACAGCGGCACAGAGCTCTCCTTTGCTTTTAGCTGGTTTTCAGCTGCCTGAGGCAGGGAAGTTCCCTGGACTGCTTTTTGCCTTTTTCCTCAGATCTGTTCGAACCTGCTCTGGACTGAAAACACAGACAAATCCTGGGAGCTCACACCTGTGGCCCACCAGGGCCTGGGCACTTTCCAGCACCAGAGGGACTGATGAGAGACTGAGCGAGCCCAGCTACAGCCCACAGCAAAGACCTTCTGGATTTACCATCTCCTCAATCAGCAAGAGGTTCTATTGTTTAATTTTGCCAAATAGGAACGGGCCAACAATAAATTTTAGCACCAGCTTCTTACACAAGATATCAAACCTTGTGAAGATGGAAGGCAATCCATCAATCTCAGCTTCTTCATTCAATTACAACCACTTCTGTGCTCAGCTCAACACATTTGGAACAAGAAAAACTGCTTGAAACTCTGTCAGTCTCAGAATGAATAATTATTTCCTACTAACACCCATGCACCTTTGTAAAGCTAAGAAACACACAACCTCTTCACAAATTAGCAAGGAATGGATGTAGCTTTAACAGTGATGATTTTTCTGTATTAAAGAAAACAGTAAGGAAAGAGAATAGAAATTTTGACAGGACATCTACCTGCTCCCGGTGTTGATGGCAGAATTCCAACTGATGGGCTCTGTGTTAAACTAAAGCTGGCCTGCATTAATATACAGAAAGAAACAAATCATTATTATAGGTATACTGCTCACATCAAGAGAGAAAATTTTCAAGTGATTTAAACATTCAGGTAATAATATTAACTGTCTGTCTTATGTTATTCCTAAATAAGAGTAAGGACAGATTTTTGCATGTATATTTAATATAAGATTGCCAAGGGGTATTAATGAAAAGTTATTTGACAATACATATGACATTTGCTTTGTGAAACAAAGTAGCTTTAAGTATCAATACTCTGAAACCCTTTAGTTTACTTTCTCAAAATAGTCAGGTCACTATTGCTACACTGTAATAATTCACACATTAGGAAGGACATTTGTATCCTAAGTTTATCAGCATTGTCACTGCCTAAAGGGTTCAGAAATCATGGAAACATAGCCTTCATTTGTACAGAGACTATTACTGGACTTACTTTCTTGCTCAACTATTTAGTGCATAGAAAAAAAGTATACTTTGAGTTTTAAATGGTAGTAGATGTTTTCTTTTTAACATAGGATTTCAATACCCAAAACAATTTTAGTCTATTTTTAGCCTGAATAGTGGCATTTCTTAGATACACGATCAAACAGCCTGGAGTACTGTAGACCTAGCAACATATGTTCAAACATTTTTTTAAATTTAATATCCAGTCCTTTAAGACACTATAGGATTCTGTCCTTCCCAGAGAACCTCTACTTTCAGAATAAACTTTTCAGAAGGCAACACTCAATAGAAAGACTGCTCATTCAGTGAAAAATGTTCTCCTAGCATCAAAAGGGCTCAGTGAAAAAGGACCTAGCAATGCCTGATTAGTCAGTTAAGCAGTAGAGCTTATTACAAAATTTACCTTGTAGAAATTTAGTGTTCCTCTTTCAAAATTAACCCCAACTGTCTACCCAAATTTGATCGGATATCTTTCTCAGAAAAAAAATTCCTTCTGTTTCTGTAAGTGCCTGTATTGCCTTCTAGAAGATAATCATGGGAACACAAAATTATTAATGTTGGAAAATATCTCTAAGATTGAGTCCAACCATAACCTAACATTGCCATCTTGACCACTAAGCCATGTCCCCAAGTTCACTTCCACTCATCTTTGAACACTTTCAAGGATGGAGAGTCTAACACTTCCCTGGGTGGCCTGTTCCAATGCCTGACCACCCTTTCAGTGAAGAAATTTTTCCTGATATCCAACCTAAATTTCTTCTGGTGCAACCTGAGGCCATTTTCTCTTGTCCTATTACTTGTTACCTGGGAGAAGAGACCAGTCTCCACCTTGCTACAACTTCCTTTCAAGCTGTGAAAGGGCATTTCTGTCAATCAGCAGCCCAAAAAATTTACAAAAAAGTGAAAAGCTGACAAACAAAGTTGAATTTGTACAAGAAAGCATAACTGAGGCATGATTTGCATTTTTCATTTCCTACTGTATTGAAAATTGGCAATAACAGGAATTTGCTTCATGACCACAGCTCTTGTTTAGTCCATACAGGAACAGGTAGGCTGAACAACCCAGATTAAGCAATAGCATGATCTGAAGGGTCACCAGTCATTTTGCTACAGCAGTTTATACAGCTAAGTTTGAGAATTCACTGTGGCAGTAAGCTGCCTCACATCTGCTAAGAACAGGCCAGTATCCAAGACACTTACTGGTCTTCTTGAGGATAGAGGTGATGATCCAAGCCCAGGACTAGATAACTCATCATATATGCTTCTAACTGGTGGAGCACCACCTTTATCTTTATGCGAAGGGACTACTGGTTGTGGGGGAGACCCTCCTGCAATTCAAAGGAACAAAAGAAGAGCATGAGAAAACTTGTAATTTTGCTTTGCTGCTACTTGTTCTGGAAACTTCAATAGTAAATTCAGCCATGCTCTCATGTTGATTGATGTTGAGACTGTTTGTTTCACTGGAGGTTTGCAAAGCCATCTGTCCTACCAAGCTGTACAGGTTTGAATGTTGTAGGTAGGAGCATCACATGTGTCTCAAACAGCATGCTAAAAAAGTACCATTTAGAACTTTCAGACCTCTTCTTAACCCATTATAGTCACTGTTTACATGTTCCTTCACTGAAGTTCTGAGCATTGCTGTATCTTTCAATTTTAAGCCAGGCTAGAAATCTATTTCAATTGCTTCAGAGACTAACTTGCCTACAGTACAGATACAAAAGCAAGATTTTCAAGAATTGAGATATTCTACATGTTAAAGAACCATACCAAAATGCAGAGACATTGCACGTTACTTTCACATTCCCACTTCCAAATTCCTTTCCTTCCCATCTAATTTCATATTAAATAAGAGCATAAGCTCTTGAAAGCAGGGACTAGCTTGCATACAGACATGATAAAGTTAAACCAGCTGCTCTCCCATTTTGTAAACTTTGGAACTTCCAGTATAACTGAGAATTAAACTTCTTGAAAGAACTTGATGGATCTTAACACTTTGTGTGGATTTACCCTAGGGAAAAAAAAAAAAAAAAAAGTAGCTTGCATCAAGTTTTCATTTGCAAAATGTTTGGAAATCAAGTTTTTCCAAGGTTCTCTTCAATCCTAAATTCTGAGCTTCAAGACTTCACTCTGAACTATTTAACACATATGAGAACTGCTACTGTTACATGGAATAATGTGCATTATGTAAAGCACTCTCCCATCAAGGTTTTCAGTTTAAGTGATCTACCTGATCACTCCCTTTGGGAAGTCTGTGTTAGTATCTGACTGGCTTCCCTCTTTCTAAAATTGATACTCTGAGGCCATAATAAACCCTTCAAAAAACAATTTGGTGAAATTCACGTGATTACTTTCAATTTCATAAATATTTTCATAAGAGCTTTGTTCCCAGACATATAAGGGCAGGCAGACAAGAGTAAGAAGCAGAAGACCAATAAACCTCCAATTACAGAACGTTTTAAGTTGGAAGAGACCTAGAAAGATCACTGAGTCCTATCTGGCCTGACAGCCAAAGAAGAGAGTATTTTATTAAGATAAATTCTTGCAGTACTTTAATCAACAATCTCTCCTTCAAAATGACTAGCATGTTAACACCCTCAGACATAAAATTATGCCACCTGATTTAGTACAAAAGCCAAGATCACCTATGACATGTCAACTACTCACTCATTCTTCTCAGAGAAGAAAACAGACATACATGGGTCTAACGTGGGTAAGAACTTCTCCTAGTCTGATTAATTAGGTGGTTGAAGAGAAATGAGCATCTACAGCTAGGAAAAGTCACTACTCCAGTCCAATGACAGCAGACATCAAGACTTTAACTACAAGCACTAGATACTAATTAAGAAGTCTATTTTCAGTTTTTCTCCACCCAGTTTTTGTAAGTTTTGACAATCTGTAAGTGACCTTTCAGAATTCAAAGAAAAAGAAAAAATTCTGCAAAGAAATCAGCAGTTTGCACAAGCTGCATTTAGTTTGCCAGCAGATATCTGTTTTCAACATCGATGTATGTGTAATTGACTAGTAGAGTCATATAAACTGATCCTGTATTAGTAGAGGTTCATAGTGCCTCCCCTGTAAAACAAACTTTTCCTGATACCAAAACTGCCACATTTAAAACATTTATTATAATTGAATACACCGAATTTACCACTTATTCAATCAGTGGAGTTTGCATATAAAAAGATATAACTATAAAGATTCAAGTCAGCAACTGTCATGTAGAACAATGAGACAAACCAATTTTTTGCTTTCACAACAATTTTCCAACATTTAACAAATTCTAACCTGCAAGTAGGGGAGACCTTGTTTCCATTACACCAATTGAAGGGCCGTATAAAGCACGTGGCTGCGGAGTCACTGGGGCAGGTAAGTCACCCATCAAAAACCCAGGGAGAAATTGAGCACTAGTTCCTTGTTTGGGAGATGTTGGGGAGCCAAGAGTCATTGGTTCAGCTCCTGAAAACAAGATGTTAAGAAAAAGACTTAAGTGAGCTAACTTTTTCCATTGTGGGCTCTATGAAAGAAACATAACACAAGTAAATGATTAAGACCACAGAATCCCAGAATTGTTAGGGTTGGAAGGGACCTCTGGAGACCATCTAGTCCAAACCCTCTGCCAAGGCAAGTTCACCCAGAGCAGGTACACAGGTGTACCTCCAGGTGGGTTTGGAATGTCTCCAGAAAGGGTTTGTAATGTCTCCACAACCACTCTGGGCAGCCTGTTCCAGGGCTTGGCCACTCTCAAAGTAAAGAAGTTCCTCCTCATGCTGAGATAGAAGCCCTTGTGTTTTGGTTTATGACCATTACTCCCCGCCCTGTCGCTGGTCACCACCCTCTTGGCACCCGCCTTTGAGATATTTACATGTATTGATGAGACCAAAGGTGGTTTCATCATTCATTTTACAGGTAAGTCGAGTTTACCACAACCTTGTATTCTTAGCAACTACAAGTGGCGGCCGATCAATTTAACCCCGCTCCCCTTTCGCCTCAGCCCAGCGCGAACCGTCCCTTCCCGGCGCCGTCTCCCACTGCCCGCCCCAGCTCAGCGGGATCCACACTGCCCCGCCTGCAGCGGGGGTCGGCCCCGGCCCCACTCCCCTCACAGGAGCGCGGGCAGCGC